AACTTGCATTGAGCTTTTCACTTGTTCCTTCTGCACAAGCTTCCTCTACAAAGTTAAATAAGCATGTTTAAAGTTGGTAATCACTCTAGATAGCTTTGTACCTTGCCTTGAAACCATACTTGTCAAGCTTGCTTCAAAAACCAGTCAAAATCCCATAACTTGTGATCTTGTGATTCTGACCACCTCAAGTATCCAAACCTCTTGATTATACATAAGGGCACTATATGCAAGCTAACACATGAATTCACAAGCCTAGAAACTCCCTAAAACTCCTTGAAATCAGAATTTGCACAAAAACTCCATTTTTGTGTCATTTCTGACTTTGAATTCCAAACTCACATTTCACTCGTGCGTTCTCACTCAAATTCAATCACAAAGCTTCCATACACCATTTAGAACTCATCCCATACCCTGTTACATGACTGTAACACCATTTGCACCATCTTCGATTTTCAAAAACAGAGCTTTGCACTTGGACTTCTCCAACACGATTCAGCCATCTCCAGTGCAAACTAAATATTGCATTAGCATCCTGGAGGGTCACTGAAGCTATTCTGATCATCACAACACCTTGAGGAGTGCTCAAACTCAGAATACAATTTCCAGTTTTGAGGTAAGTTTCCTTAAATTTGAACTCTCTCTACAAGCATCATTATTGATTCATTTGTGAAGATAAAATATAGATATCATTACCATGAAGCTGTACATATCCTTAGTTTTCATTTACATGGCTTGAGCTTAGAGAATTTTAAGTTTGAAGTTTCTGAAAAAATTAGGGTTCAAATTAGGGCCAGAGAAATTCTCATTCATCTTTGATCTACAGCTTTAGTTGTTTACATGGTTAGATTCGTGAGGAAAAATAGCACAACTTTCATGTTTGCATTTTCCATTTTTGTTGAGAAATGAATGAGATACAAGTGGTCTTGCTGGCTGAAGGTTGAAGACGAAGTACAGGTCATGGAGACATGTTACATTATGTATTTATTCTTTCATTTAAGTTAACGGATGTACAACCACCCAGTGGTAAGACAACACGCGTTATTGGTAGAGGTCGTGGGTTCGAACCTTAGCGCTGCCTTTTGCATTTTTTCACATTTTTGTCATTTTTCTTTTTGTTTCAGGAAAGCGCTTGGGCCTCCACCCCATGGGTCTGACTTTTTTTTCTCTTAACAATACTCCCTGTTTCACTTTCTAACCTCCCTGACTTTATTTTATTTTATTTTATTTTCATCTTTTATTATTATTATTATTATTATTATTATTATTATTATTATTATTATTTTTATTAATAAAAAATCCAAAAATATTTATATTTTATTATTTATATTTATTTAGTTTATTTTTCTTCATAAAACTAAAAGAACAAAAAAACATTTCCTTTAATAAATTAATTTCCTTTTTTTTAAATACTTAGATAATTAGTCTTAATTATTATTATATTATTTTCTTATAAATTAAAATCAATTTAGAACTTAGGAATTTTATTTAATTAATTTTATTTACTAATTTAATTAAATTCACAAAAACCCTAAAAAACTTGTTTTCTTTAATAAATTAACTTCTTTCATTAACTTAGTTTTAATTTTCTTATTCTATTCAATTATTCTATTTTAATTTAATTAGGTCAAAACTTTTAAATACAAAAAAAAAAAAAAACTATTCCTTTACCTTTTCATACTTGTACATTATATTTATTCATTTTTGTACATTTATTTAAATTCAATATGGTTGTAATAGATAATTAGAGTTTTAATTTCTTGCAATTCCCCATTTGTAAATTTGTATACCCACTCCCCTAAATGATGTAATAGCTTAGTATTTTTATTTTCCGTAATTTAATGTTTATATACAGATGCTAGTAATTAGGGTTTGTATGGAAAGATTAAAATCAATGCTTAGAAAATCCTAATCAAGACAAATCAACCATGTAAACCAATACACTTGCACACATGCACCCTTAGGGTAAATCCACTTTGTTGCCTTACAAAATGGCCATATTATGCATGTGAGGTATCTTAGCAAAAACAAGCAAAAATACAAGATCATAGTCCCTCGACGATGCTATCATAGTTGCCTTTCAAAAATGATCTTAGTCCCTTAAAGAAAATGCTAAGATATCTTACAACATTGCTAATCATGGCTATACGATGACCCTTGCCTGTCCTTTTTACATCCAAAGATAGGGTTACTTACCAAATCAATGGTAAGATAACAATGTCAAAGGAAAGAGGAAATAAACATGAAAGACTTTTGAGTAGGTAGATTGTTCCTAGTTGCTTGCTCAATTTCAAAACCAAAACACCCTTGATATTTTCAAAACAAACACCAACACTTTCAAAAACAACTTTTAAAACTTGAAAACATTTTCAAAAGATCAACACCTTTGTATACATTCTTACAAACGAAAATCATTACAAAGTTTGCCTAAACGATAGCGCCTTATCAAAATACTTTCAAAAACCACACAAAACATATTTTCAAACAAAAGCAAGTGATCTAGTAAGCAACTAAGAGCCCATAGATAACTATGGATGAAAAGGGTGCTAATACCTTCCCTTTTCATAATCTACCCCCGAACTCAAGAAAATAATCTCAAAGGTCTTTCCTGTTCTTTTCAGTCTTTCCTTATTGGATAAAAGAAAAGTCGGTGGCGACTCTTGCTAACCGTAACATTTGCGATCAAACACAAAACACCAAGTCAGTTCTCCCACCGCGTTACAATGTGAAGGTGTGATTATAATATATGAAGTATGATGATACGTGGATTCCTCGATGATTGTTGTTGTTGTAACTACTATATTCATTCCTTATATCTTTTATAACGATTTGTGATTACTCACCCTTTTTGCTTAGAAATGTTGCCTCAATACGTGGGTAACTTGCAGGTAGTCAGGAATGGTCGTAGAGGCTTGAAGATAGATTGGAGTTATTCATTTATTTCCATATTTTATAGTGGTCTTGATCTTATATTGTAACATTAGGTGGGGAAACGCTTGAGATAAAGTTTCAGTTGTTTTGATAAACATATTTTATGAGTGTTACTATGATTGATTTATTTGATGATGACTTTTGATATTTACCAAAAGGTTTTGAGGTTGATGAACGAAATGAAGTTATTTTTGAGACTATGATTCCGCTGTGAGATTTAAATTTGTTTGTTGATGTTATTAAAGAAATAATTTGCTTAAAATGATTTAAAAACCCGTGTTACGGAGCAAGATGTTTTATTGAGATGATTGTGTGAAGATGTGACACCTACATTGGTGGTTTGTGTTTAATTATTTATTAAATTATTCACGAATTATTTGTTGAGTTTAGATGGGTTTACATATCGCATCCCTGGTAACTGTAAAACTTCTTGAAACCACGACTCATTAGGCGGAACTAGGCGAGAAATCTTCCACGCATGGTTGATGAATTTTAGCGGATCACGTTCTTGCATACAAAGTTTAATAAGAATGGGTCCAACAAACAAAACTTCAAATGAATAATTCCAACTAAATTTTACCTCTTCGTCTCACATATGTCTAAAAACATGGTCCAGGTAAACAAACAACAATGCTAAGTCTGAGGGGCCTTCTCCAAAACCCCGAGGTGCTTATACTGCATGGGCTTGGGATGACCCAGGTGCCGCCTCTACTGGCCTCTGGGCCTGGGATGACTTAGGTGTTGCCTCTGTTGGTCCCCAGGCCTTGGATACCTCAGGTACCACTTTTGTCGTCTAGGATGTCTCATGTGCCGCCTGGGATGCCTCAGATGCCTATAGTATTTGAGGTATCTCGGGTGACTCGGGTACCTCTGCTGTCTCAGGTGTCTGAATATGTGAACTTAGGCGTCTACGTGAATTCAACCCATATATTTAGAAGTGTGTTAAATTTTGGTGTGTTCGGAGATGTATCTCTAAAACCTTGGACATAAATGTATTTTCACGCGATGTCTTAGTAATGTATAAGGTGCATTAATAAATTCCATAAAAATATGAACTATAATTTTAAGGCTTAATCCCAACCCTATGATTTATCGGACTTGACATGTCCATATAAACAAATTCATTTTAACAACTTGTTTAAAATATTTTTAAACTCTCAACTAATACGATCTTTGATCAAATTTTCTATGTATTCGATACTAATGTTATCTACATCATTATCAAAGGTAATAGCATTCTATAATTCCTTAAGCTAAAGGCCATCTTCATGAGCATGGCGTGCCACCCTTTACCTTTAGTAGCCTTAATAATCCAATGAAGCTCATTATCCCAAGCTTTTGGAGTATGCTTTATATCCAACCAATTAAGGATTATGCTCCAATTACCATTCATGACTTTACAGGAGAAGAAGAAGTGATTGACAGAAGCTTGTACCAACACACTCTATTGTTATCATCAATCAAATTGACATAAAACCTTTTCATAGGAAATTTCTTACAAATAATGGCATTATCCCGATAATGCTGAACACCTTTAAACTCTTTGAATATAAGATAAATATAAATTAACAAAAATTAAAATTGTAAATTTTTATTAACTCAAATTTCTTTTATATTCAAGATCTCGAAGAAAATATATGAGGTAGGTTTTTTTTTTTTGTTTGTTTTTTTACAATTGGAAAAGGAAAAGATATGAGGTAGAGGTATGCACATACCCAACACAATATATTATTAGTTTTTTATTTAAAAAATAAAAAAGTTTATTTAAAAAAATATATTTTACAATAATAATAATAATAATAATAATAATAATAATAATAATAATAATAATAATAATAATAATAATAATAATAATAATAATGATAATAAGAATAATACAATTTCCATTTTTTACTAACTCACTATTTTTTAACTTTAATAATAATAATAATTGTTTTGTGTAGAAGAACTACAACCAGGCACTTTCTTCTTCTCCATCGTTCAGATTTTCTCTGAAGAAGGTGCTTCTCTCTTTCTCTCCAAAATTCTCGATCCATTTCCTCAACCCGACCCGAATCCAGATCCATTTCACCATGTACGGTTTCGAAGCTCTCACCTTCAACATCCACGGCGGTTACCTTGAGGCAATCGTCCGCGGTCACCGCTCCGGTCTACTCACCACCTCCGATTACAACAATCTCTGCCAATGCGAAACGCTTGATGATATCAAGATGCATCTCTCCGCTACCGAGTACGGTCCTTATCTCCAAAACGGTGCGTTTTTTCCCGATCATTGATCTCAATTTGATCATTTATTGATTTATCGATCGATTACTCAGAAATGTTTCAATTGTGATAATTGATTCAATTGTTTGTTGATTTGAAATGCTAGTAATGCCTGAAGAATTATCATGAAATTTATATTATATATATGCTTGTTTTAATTTGTTTTATTGTGATTTGGTTACTGTTATTTTGGATATTTGATCTGCTATGGATGAAAGATGGATGTAGATGATTTTATCATCCTATTGTTGTGTACTTCAATAAGATCTTGTTTATATTTGTTTATTAACTCTGAAGCACCGACACCTCTGAAAAGGCGTGGCGTGGCTGTGTAGGAGACGGTGTTAGAAACTGACACTGATATTTGTGATTACGTTTTATTTATTTATTTTTTTAAATTATTACCGGTCGACGTGTTAGTGTTGGTGTCGTGTTTCATGTGCTTTATGGTGCAGGTGTAGTTCAATTGTCTTTGTTGAATGAAGATTTTTGTAAATGATCTATTCAATTTTCAGTTTATTATTAGGTGTCCGTGCTTTATAGATTGTTATTGGTGCAGGTTTAGTTCAATTGTCGTGGATTTTCATAAATGATTGATTCAGTTTAGTTTATTATTAGGTGTCCGTGCTTTATAGACTGTTATTGTTGCAGGTTTAGTTCAATTGTCTTTGTTGAATGAAGATTTTCGCAAATAATTGATTCAATTTTCAGTTTATGATTAGGATTATTAGTATTGGTACTTATGATTAAGATCTTGTTTATTTTGTTGTTATATTTGTTAAAAAGTTAACTGTTTATCTCTGAAGCACTGACACCTCTGAAAAGGTGTGTCAGTGTCGGTGTCAGAAAGCGACACGGATACTTGTGATTACACTTAATTTATTCATTTTTTTAAATTATTACCGGTGGAAGTGTCAGTGTGGGTGTCGTGTCTCATATGTGTCTGTGCTTTATAGAAGTTAACTTTTTATCTCTGAAACACCTACACCTTTGAAAAAAAATGTGTTTGTGAATTGTGATCACGTTTAATTTATTCAATTTTTTTTTACAAATTATTACCGGTCGACGTGTCTGTGTTGTGTTTCCGATGTCTGTGCTTTATAGACTGTTATTGGTGCAGATTAAGTTTAATTGTCTTTGTTGAATGAAGATTTTTTCGTAAATGATTGATTCGATTTTCAGTTTATTATTAGGATTATTAGTATTGATACAAGGGTGTATACTTGATGATAATATGTGGTTTAAATGATTGATTTATGCTGATGGATGATGAGTTACTTGTTGCAGAACCTTCTCCGTTGCATACTACAACAATTGTGGAGAAATGTACTCTTAAGCTGGTTGATGATTACAAGCACATGCTATGCCAAGCTACAGAGCCCTTGTCGACCTTTTTAGAATATATCACGTATGTGAATTTCCCATTCTTTTTGCTCTGTTAGTGTGTTTACTTGAATATACCACAAGTCTATGTAACATAACACCCGCACTTCAGATTGAAGCGTGTCTGGTGCCTGGCACGTTATTACTTTTTGTGGTTTCCAATTTTTGGTGCATGTGTCTCTAAGTAAAGCTTAAATCAATATATATATTTTCTTATTATACAGATATGGTCACATGATAGACAATGTTGTTTTGATTGTTACTGGCACCTTGCATGAGAGAGATGTACAGGAACTTCTAGAAAAATGCCATCCACTGGGCATGTTTGACAGGTACCCTTAATTTTATGCATTTTTCATTATATTGTTGATGTCGGAAAATAGAATATGAGATTTACTTTTTTTTTCCTCTCTCGGTGGATTCTCTCCTCAGTATTGCCACTCTGGCAGTTGCTCAGAATATGCGGGAGCTTTACAGGTTGGTTCTCGTTGACACTCCTCTGGCTCCCTACTTCTCTGAGTGCATTACATCAGAGGTAAACCATCTTTTTAGAAATAATTTTACCTTTATTTTGTTCAACTTCAGTCTGCCGTGTTGTTTATGGTAGAATTGTAGTACTATTCCAGATACTGGAGTTTATCTATATCTACCCCTACTTCCTATCCAATAGACTGTGATAAAAACTGTAATGTAAAAGTATCAAAAAATAAAAGGCAATAGCTGTTGACTCAACTGGGGTGAGCTAATAGTTGAAAGAATTAGAAAATCCGGATTCAGACCCTAGTGAAGGAGAAAAATATTAATATAACAACTAATTACTAACAGTTGCTTATCCAAAAAAAAAAAAAACTAGCTGCTGGTTCCCATCTAGAAGACAATTTTCCTACTTCACTTTTTATTTTCCTGGATTATATGTACAGCAATGCTAGCAATAATTTGATATTATTGGCATCAATGGCTTTGTTACTTTATAATTTCATTTCTGTAGCTTCATAGAATGCAACTGGCTTAGTTCTTTGATCTATGTGCTCATGGCTCTGTTTTATTTCTAGGACTTGGATGACATGAACATTGAAATAATGAGGAACACTCTTTACAAGGCATACCTTGAAGATTTTTACAGATTCTGTCAGGTGAAGGGTCCAAGTCAAGTCTCTTTTTTGCCAGCTATTTATTTGCATCCCCTTATGGTTTCCCCTGACTTTTATAATCTTCATGTTATTCCCAATCAGAAACTTGGTGGTGCTACTGCTGAGATAATGTCTGACCTTCTTGCTTTTGAGGCTGATAGAAGGGCTGTGAATATTACCATTAACAGGTAAATCACTAAAAAGGTTTTAATAGTTTTCTTGTTTATCTGGATACCTGCATAACTAGCATCCCATGGTTTCTGCTTTGTGCAGCATTGGTACTGAGCTTACCAGAGATGACCGTCGGAAACTGTACTCTAACTTCGGTTTGTTGTAAGTTCTCATCCTTCAGTTAATTTTATATTTTAAATTCAATATACTGCTTTGTTATGCTTCTTTTACTAACGACTGACTTATTTAAAACAGCTACCCATATGGTCATGAGGAACTCGCCGTCTGTGAGGATATTGACCAGGTATATTTGCATCTAGGTTATGTGATATGTTAGGTTGATATATTGGTGGATATATGGTGTTTTCCCTCTTTCAATATGTATGCTTCTTAGGGCGGTAGATTTGTGTTTATTATTAGTAGCCAAGTCAGTTTAATGTGCTGAACTTTATTATATGCCTTATCTTTGGTTTAAGTATTGTTATATGACCTTAACCTCAACTATCAGGAGATTATCCTAACTTGCAGATGATTCTTGTTTTAGGCTTCTCTTTCAAACTTTCATCTAATTTTTTTGAGCACTTTTATCTTCTATTTTCAAGGCATATATGATTCGACTGCTTGTTATTTCAAGGCATATTCAGAGGGCCTTGTGTAGTTGAATTGTTTATTATCCTTTCGTGCTGGTATCTGCCTTGAAATATTTGAAAATCACCGTAGCTGTCTATAACACCCACTTAGTTCTAGTTGATTTCTTTTAGTACTGCTATTTGGGACTTAATTCTCTTGCATGGTTGCTCGTGCAGGTTCGTGCTGTTATGGAAAAATACCCTCCTTATCAATCTATTTTTGCCAAGCTGTCATATGGAGAGAGCCAGATGCTTGACAAAGCATTCTACGAGGAAGAGGTCAAGAGGCATTGCTTAGCATTTGAGCAACAGGTTTATTTTTTTTACTGTTGAGAGTATCATAACTTTTTGTCCGCGTAGCTTATCAGTTTAAATTTGAATGGTTGCTGGATCTTTTTCTACCAAGTGATAAGAATTGGAAGAATCATAATGCTAGAAGGAAATTGATTGGCTCAAAATATAAATGTTTTTAGTATAAGGTATACTCGCCTTATTCATCACTAAGCCATCCTAATTTGTCTATATTGCAGTTTCACTATGCTGTGTTCTTCGCATATATGAGGTTAAGGGAGCAGGAGATCAGGAATCTTATGTGGATTTCAGAATGTGTGGCTCAGAATCAAAAGTCCAGAGTTCATGACAGTGTTGTCTTCATATTTTAGTCTGATTATTCTTTGTGATAGCTTGTATGTTGGTTTGGACAAACTATATGTACAATTTCTGCATTCTGCGTCCAAGTTGCCGATCGATAGAGACTAGACAATCACTATTTAGAAGATTGTGATACAAATAAGTAAATTCTTATGCTGAAGAAATCTTCTGTAATATAGAAGGGAGTTCTTTTTGTCAACTTTGATTAAAATATGTTAAGTTTTAAAAACGCTACATTGAATTTGTATGTTGTGAATTGTGATATTTATAATAAATTTCTTATGGAATAAACTTCATAACTTGGTCCACACATTGCTTTCTTAATCACTTCTGTTAAACTTGATAGCTTGTATGTTGTATACGATTATATTGGGACTTAGTTGTAGTTGACCTTTGGGTTTGAGTAAGTTATAGATAAGAGAATTTCTTATGGCACCTTATGTGGGGGAAAATATCCTATGTAAAATTAAAAATGTCTTCGGAAATGTATTTTCGGGATGATTTTTTTTTTTTTTGAAAAAATAAGTATGAAACTGGAAATGCAACTATAATTTGGAACTGGAAATGCATATCCGGTTCTTGTACAGACAATTCAAATCATGTTTTTTAGTAGGTTTTGGTGCATAAATACGTAATAAAATACGATGTCGATTAAATACGAAGTAATCACAAAATATGTACAAATATTCATAAATATTATGTTCTAAAATACGATACGTAAAATATTTCTCAAAGTGTAATCCAAATAATCCAAAATATGAAAAATATAATAGTATTATAAACAAAATGCAACTAAAACTATCAGACTATTGAGTGTGGCAGATAATGAGTCGGTCTGTGATATTCGTCACATTCCTCCGTTGTCGTCTGTAACAGAGCCTCTCCAGCCTCTACCATGATGACATCTAGAAAACCTCTAACACTAGAGCCATTAGGAAATAGACCCCTATTGATACCCGCTTGTGCGATCTGCATGATACGACGACACATAGGCAACACATCAGTGACATGATCGGCCTGTGCCTACTGCTCCTCTAGAATCTCCGCATGTGCTGGTCTAGGTGGGTTACCTGGAGCCTCTTGTATCAGATATGGATGTGACACCTTGAAGAATCATAAGATATATCCATCCTCATAGCTCCAATCTTTTGCTGCTATGATACTCCGGGTCTCATCTGATACGAGATGGTTAGGATAATAATCAAATATGTCATCCATATTCATCCGTTTCACCATGGAAGAGCACACTCAGAGGATGGTTCGAGAAAGTGTTGCATGTATCCGATCTACCGCATCATGCGCTCAGGCAAATAAGCAGCCGTCTTACGCATCCCACATGCCAACCACCCAGTGAACAACACAATATCGTCAAAGGGAACCGTCTCACGGTGAGCCTCGTATGCATGAAAGCATATATCCTCATAGGTCAGGCGGTCTATATACATCTTGAATGGCTCTGTCGTCTGGTTCCTTCGGAGTTGGTCGAATGAAGCGGTATGTGGTTGAACCTCAGTATATGTAGGCTTAAGTGACCATCCGGATATGTGAGGAAAGTGTTGTAGAATTCAGACCTGAAATGTAACCGTAAAAAGTGTGATGCTGCCAGACATCTGCTTTGTATTCCACTTAGAACCTTAGGACAACTTATGGTACAAATACACCAAACAAGCAACCCCCCAGTTCCACTCAACGATCAGCTGAAAATCTTTAAAGAACCGCATGTACATGATATTAGTGTAAGCGACACTAGTGTCCACAAAAATCTGCGTGCCAATCAGATATAAAAGATATGCCCTCATAGCACGTGCTTTGTGCTGGGCTACCTGCAGATTATCACCAGCAGCCTGCCGTGCACGCCCTAGCTCAGATGTGAACACCTTCTGCAAGTAACTAAATTTGACATTGACACCCACGGGTTTTGTCGATCTCAGTCATAACACCCTCTGGAGTAACTCCTAATTACTCCACCAACATATCCAGCGCCTCCTCTTTGGTGCACCTCTCATGATCTAAAAACCTCCCTCTAATCGGAAGGTGCAACAGACACGCGGCATCGTCTAGTGTGATTGTCATCTCACCACGTGGTAGGTGGAATGATGATGTCTCGTGATGCCATCTCTCAACAAAAGCGTTAATCATACCATGATTAATAGTAGTATATCCACATAAGACCAAATCACGCAGCCCAGTGATGTGCAGCAACTCTCGAAACCATGGCTCGTCGGGTGGTATCGAGCGACTCATCTTCCTAGCATGGTTAATTATCTTGAGTGGATCGCGGTCCTGCATGCATAGATAAATGAACACAATACTTAGCAAAGTGAACACAATACTTAGCATAAAAAAGGTAACACAATGCATAACAATTGTTAAATGAAATATTTACCTCTCCGTCCCATAAGTGTCTGGCAACATGGTCCAGATACAACGACAGTAATGACAAATCAAAAGGTCCTCCTCCAAAGGCACGAGGAGCCTCTGGTGTCGGCTCTGTTGTTGCCTCTAGATGAGCCTCTGGTGCAGGCTGTGGATGGGCCTCTGATGCAGGTTGTGGATGGGACGCCGGTGCAGACTGGGTGGTCTCTGGTGCCTGCTGGGTGGGAGCAGGTGTAGGTTGGGTGAGAGCAGGTGTCGACTGGGATGAAGAAGACTCTCCTGTCTCAAAGACTATAGGGCGTCTGTGGGAGGAAGGAGGTGGAGATGTATGATTTGAATGTGGTGTAGTCTGTGGATGGAATCCGAATGTATCTCCTGGTACGGATACTTGCGGTGAGGATGTACGTCTACGGGAGGACGGAGGCAGAGATGGATGGACAAGAGACTCTCGCCTGCTGGTCGACAGAGTGGATGTAGAAACAACATCGATAATGGACGTATCTGGCGCAGCCTGCCTAGGAACCTGAAAAGACTGAGTCATTTCCCTACGCACGGAAGTATGCTGTGAAAGTCTCCCGTGTCGCAATCTGGATTGTCTCTCAGCCATAATACCTGTAGAATAAACGAATAAAGTATTAAACAATAACACTCTTGTACAAAAAATAGGAAAAAGCTGTCTGCTGCATAACCGGAAGTATACTTCCGATTTTGGTCAAGAACAAAATCGAAAATACACTTCTAGTACGACCCGCAACTTATCAGGTACGTCAATGGCGAAGCTGACGCCCAATGGGGACCAAAAAACAGGCATTAATCGTCAAAAAGACATGGCTAACACTTCCGTATTGACTTCAAACATTGCAAGAACTAAAAAAAACTACATTTTACTACCCTAAAACACAATTTCTATGTAAAAAAAAAACTCAATAATGCTCAAAAACAACTTACAATGATTGATTCTCCTTGGTTTATTCCGGTTATGCTTGATGATTTCCTTATGTGTTGCGATAAATTGATGGATTTTGAAACAATGAGTATTTTGGAACAATGGAGTTTTGTGTTTTGTGTTTTGTGTTTTGTTTCTTTTTGAAGCAAATGAGAAAGGGGAAGAGGTAGCGCGCATATATGTCAAAATACAAATCAGAAATACACTTACGGTTTGGAATCGGTATTGCATTTTCGGTTCGTATCAACGTAATAGGTTGTGGATACTTAGTGTTTTTCTTAATTTCATTTAGAGTGTAACCGGAAATACAACATCGGTTTGGAAACCGTAAGTGTACTTCCGGTTTGTATGTTTTTTTTCATATAATAGGGTGCGCACTGAAGATACATTTCTGATTTCTGAAAACATTTTTGGAAATTCACACTGATGCCTAAGAAACACATAGGATGCATTAAAAAATTCTCATAGATAATATGGTTTCAGAGCTTGGCCCGGATCGATAGGCTCTCTTGATATTTTCTTTTTAGCAACATAGGAGTTCAAGTAGTGACAATTACAAATCCATGGTTCAAAGAGAGGAAGCTCATTCATGAGAGAGATAAAGACCATATTGATACTAATGTGGTAACATTGTATATTAGTAGAAAAAGATGGTAAATGAGGTACACAAGTCTCAAGTTTATAGGTCTCTTTAAAACAAATGTGCATCTAAGTCTCGATGAATTATGACTATGACTAATTTATAACCTTCAAGTCTCAAACTTATAGGTCTCTATGACACAAATGTGTATCTAACTCTAGCTGAATTATGACTATTTCATAACCTTCAAGTCTCAAACTTATAGGTCTCTATGACACAAATATGTATCTAACTCTAGCTGAATTATGACTATTTCATAACCTTTTTTACAAGTTTTTCAAAGAACCTTCATTCACACCATCACAACCCAGGTCCTTATCTGATTCTACAAATTGGTTTGTTGAACTTACTAGTTTTCACAATATTTCAGTCTAACAACTAAACTACAAACAAAGCACACTCTTACTAGAGGCAGTCACAATAGAAAAAGGAAACAATAACAAACGAGAATAATACACACAAAAGGAAGAGATGCCTTTTGCTTTCAACTTAAAAGATCCTTTTAAGCCACCAAAGTACCTGTGTACTGTAAATGGTTCCCAATGCCACTCCAGCAACAAGACCTCCTACATACCCGATCAAACTTACTTTCCACTCAATTTTAAAGAAAGATTCTGAATCATGGTCACCATCAGAGGTTGATTGCCCCGGAAGATATATACACTTCTTTGATAATTGATCTTTAATAAGACAGTTTGTTGAATGATAAATTAAGATAAAGTAGCTCTTTAAGCTTCAAAAACATGTCAAACACTAGATTTCCATGCAACAAATTATGAGATAGGTACAAGTTCACTAAATTTGTTAGGTTCATTATCCAAGATGAAATTTCACCCTTTATATTGCAATTTTCTGCATTTAATGTTTCTAGCTGGGTCAGATTTGCAAAAGATGATGGGATGTCACTGCCAATATTGACTGAGGATATCTCCAAGGCAGTTATTGATGAGACCTCACCTATCCATGAGAATGACTTAATTTGTGAGATATAATTCAAATTTAGTTTCATTTGGTTTTGTATTTGACTTTCATTTCACTTAAATGTTAGTAAACATAATTACATTATATATTGGTACGCTTAAAAAAAAACAAAATTATAATATATTATTATATATCTTAGAAATTTGTTTTGCTCTTTTGTTAAAAAAAGAACTTTTTTTAAGGATATTTACAAAAGGGCTCATACTACGCCCACATTAGAAGAGTATACCTTATACAAGTATTCTTTTGTGTTTATTGACGCTACATCCACGCTAATTCTATGTTAGCGTTGGTTTTTTTGGCTTCTAGCATCGAATTTAGGTCAACGCTAAATTTTATTTTTCTAATATTGTTGCTAACATATAAATTATTTTTAATTATTTTTATAAAAAAAATATTAAAATTGATCCATGGCAAACATTTCTTTGAATTAGACGGCTTTATAAAACCGGCTCCGATTTTTTAGTTTGAATAATTTTAAACGGTTCAATCCGATTTTTTGATTTTACTCTATTTTGATCCACTTGGAGTCTTACAAGACTGACCAAACCGGAGTCACCTCCGATTCTTGGTTCAACCAATTGTATCGGACAGTTCGATTCGATTTTTAAAACATTTAATATATAGTATATTAAAACTTATTTTTATTGAATAAAACTCATTAATTATGTCGTCTGAAATATATAAAATAGTAAAGTAGTTATCTCATGGATAGGTGAGCTATGTTGATTTATATAATATATTAAAACTAAAACTGTTAGGATCATAATAATTAAATTCCAAACCAAACAACACTTTATTGTTGATATTTTAAAATGATACATCAAATTACTAAATGTTAATTTGACACCTTTGTTACAAGTATTTCCAAAAACAACCATACCCCAACTTGTTTGAATCTGCAAGATTTGTTGTTTCTTTTGTTGAACTTACTAGTTTTTCATAATATTTCAGACAAACAAGCAATAAAATACAAACCAAATACACTGTCATTATAGGCACTCACAATAAAAGGAAACAAGAACATATGAGAACACAATACAAAAGAAAGAGAAGGCTTTTCAAGATTCTTTAAACTCAAAAGAACCTTTTAAGCCACCGAAGTACCTGTGAGCTGTAAGTGGTTCCCAATGCCACTCCAGCAACAAGACCACCTGCATAACCAATCAAACTTACTTTCCACTCAATTTCAATGAAAGATTCCGAGTCATGGTCACCATCAGAGGAAGAAGGCCCTGGATGATCTATACACTTCTTTGACAATTGATCTCCACACAAACCTTGGTTTTCCCTCAAATGAATTTTCTTGAAATGTAGAAAACTGCTCATTTTGTGGTATAGGTCCTGTGAGATTATTGAGGGAGACATTAAAGAACTCCAGAAAGGTGAGTTGTGTTAACTGTTGGGGAATCTTTCCTGACAGAGTGTTGAAAGAAAGGTCAAGTGCTTCGAGTTTTGAAAGCTTCCCTAAGGAAGATGGAATGCTGCAAAACAAGGTTGTTATTTGACAAGTTAAGCAAAACAAGATTCTTCCAGTCACCTATGACTTTCGGTATCTCTCCACTGATTTTGTTGCTTGAAATATCAATGGCTATCATACTATAAGAATTTTGAAGCGTCTCATAAACCATGACCATCCCTTTGTTTGACATTGCGAACGAATAAGAAACCTTTCCTGTCATCGAATATCCTCCTGGCTTGTAGAACACACAGAATATTGAATTTTCCTCGTACTGAAATTGACTTGTGTTGGATGTTTTCATTGTTTTCCAACTCTGGATCATTTCTGTGGGAAAATTGCCAGAGAACTCATTGTGAGACAGGTCAATGATGTGAAGCTTGGGAAATGTGCATGTCATATTCTTGGGGCACCTAATATCTCCATGAAATTCATTGTCACTTAAAGCCAATACCTTCAACTCAGGCAAATCTCCCAGCCAGAATTGACTATGCATGAATATGTGCCCTCTCTTCATATATCAACATTTTATTATTTTGGTTGTATGCATAAAGCTTCATTCTGTAACTGACTAAAAACTAGTTTTAAATTTCACACATCTGATCTCAACATATATCAAATTATGAGAAGATATAGTATTTGTGATTTATTTCTTCTAAAACATTAAATTGTCCTTGTAGAGGGCACCTAAGAAGATGATAAATGAAATTAGAAGCACCCAAAGTAGGTTCTTGTGGAGGGGTGTGGATGGTATGAATGGGGGAGGGTTTGCAATGAGAAAGATGTTGGAGTTCATTTCAAGTTTCCATTTGAAATGAACTCATGTGAAAATGAACTTAATAGTTTTTCATAATATTTCAAACTTACAACCGATAAACTTGAAACAAAGCACAATCTTATTAGAGGAAATCACAATAAAACGAAACAAAAACAGATGATAACCTTAAATACAGAAGAAGAAAAAAGGCCTTTTTCTTTTAACTCAAAAGAACCTTTTAAGCCACACAAGTACTTGTGAGCTGTAACTACTTCCCAATGTCACTCCACCAATAAGACCACCTATGTACCCAATTAGACTTACTTTCCAATCAATTTCAAAGAAAGATTCTGAGTCATTATCATCGTCAGAGGTAGAAGGTGGAGAAAGTGAGTGCCCTGCATGATCTAAACACTTGTTCACCAATTGATCCCCACACAGAACTTTGTTACCCTCAAATGAATCTCCTTGGAATGTAGAAAACTGCTCATTTTGTGGTATAGGACCCGTGAGATTGTTGAAGGACACATTAAAGAACTCCAGAAAAGTGAGTTGTGTCAACTGTTGTGGAATCTCCCCTGACAAACTGTTGTGAGAAAGGTCCAATGCTTTAAGGTTTGAAAGCTTCCCTAAGGAAGATGGAATGTTCCCAGTAAAGATGTTATTTAACAAGTTGAGTAAAACAAGACCCTTCAAGTCACCTAGGACTTTTGGCATCTCTCCACTGATTTTGTTGCTTGATATATTGATAGCTATCATGCTATAAAATTTCTGAAGCTTCTCATAAACCACGGAATGCCCTTTGTTTAACATTGTGAGCGAATAAGGATTATATTTTTGTTTTTATAACAATGGACGGTCATTATGAGTATTCTGTGATACTGTTTGGTGTGATCAACGCACCTGGTGTATTTATGGAATACATGAACATGATTTTCCATCAGTATTTGGATAAGTTTGTCGTTGTTTTCATTGAGGATATTTTGATCTATTCGAAGAGTGAAGAGGATCATATTGAACATCTGAGAATTGTGTTATCTATGTTGAAAGAGAAGCAGTTGTATGCTAAGCTTTCTAAGTGTGAGTTTTGGTTGAAGGAAGTGAATTTTCTTGGTCATGTGATTTCGAAAGGTAGTATTACAGTTGATCCATCAAAGATTGAGACTGTGTTTCAATGAGAAGCTCCGAAATCTGTTTCTGAGATTAGAAGTTTTCTTGGTTTAACAGGTTATTATCGAAAATTTATTGAAGGATTTTCCAAATTAGCTTTGCCGTTGACGCAATTGACTAGGAATAGTCAAGTTTTTATTTGAATTACACAGTGTGAAGTTGGTCTTCAAGAGCTTAAGAGAATGTTGACAACCGCTCCTATTTTGATTTTTCCTGATCTAGAAGTACCGTTTGTTGTATATTGTGATGCTTCGTTGATGGGTTTAGGAGGTGTGTTGATGCAAAATCAACAAGTTCTAACTTATGCTTCAAGGCAACTTAAAGTGCATGAAAGGAATCACCTGACTCGTGATTTAGCGTTAGCTGTTGTTGTGTTTGTATTGAGACTTTGGAGGAATTATTTGTTTGAATCAAGATTTGATGTGTTTAGTGATCACAAGAGTTTGAAATATTTGTTTGATCAGAAAGAGTTGAATATGAGACAAAGAAGATGGTTGGAATTCTTGAAGGATTATGATTTTGGTTTCAATCACCATCCCGGTAAAGTGAATGTTATGGTTGATGCATTAAGTAGGAAGTCATTGCATATGTCGATGTTGATGGTGCGAGAGTTGGAATTACTTGAGCAATTTTGAGATATGAGTTTGATTTGTGAGGAGACTTCTTCTGGAGTTAAGTTTGGTATGTTGAAGCTTACTAGTGGCATTCTTGATGAGATTCGAGAAGGTCATAAATCTTATTTAATTTTGGTGGATAGGTTGACATTGGTCAATCAAGGTCGACGTTGCGATTTTCGGATTGATGAAAATGGTATCATGAGATGTCGTGATAGAGTTTATGTTCCAGATATAGCTGATTTGAAGAAGCGTATTCTTGAGGAATAGCATCGTGGTGAATTGAGTATTCATCCTGGAGCTACTAAGATGTATCAAGATTTGAGGAAATTATTTTGGTGGCTAGGTATGAAGAAAGAGATTGCAGAATTTGTGTATTCTTGTTCGATTTGTCAGAAGTCAGAGAATGAACATCAGAAATCATATGGTTTGATGCAACCGTTATCTATTCCTGAATGGAAATGGGATACTATTTCTATGAACTTTGTGTCAGGTTTACCTAGAACACCGAGTAATTTTGAGGCTATTTGGGTAATTATGGGCAAGTTGACTAAATCTGTGCACTTTATTCCAATGAGAATGGGTTATCCAAAAGAGAAGCTTGCAAAGCCGTACATTGAGAAGATTGTCAGTTTGCATGGTATTCCATCTAGAATTGTATCAGATAAGGATACGAGATTTACTTCGAGATTTTGGAAAGGTTTGAAAAATGTTTTGGCTACGAAGTTGCGTTTAAGTTCTGCTTATCATCCGCATCTTAAACTTTTCCCTAGAATATGCATCACCAGCTTCAACGCCTTTATCCCACAAAATGCGTAAATCTTCAATTAATGGAGCAAGATAAACATTTGTGTTATTACCAGGTTGTCGTGGTCCAGATATCATCATACTTAATAACATATACTTGAGCTTCATGCACAACCAATGAGATAGGTTGCAAATAGTGAGAAGAACATGCCATCAAGAATGATTAGTCCTAAGATTACAAAAGGGATTCATTCCATCAATGGCAAGCCCAAGCCTAAAGTTTCTTGGCTCAATTCCAAAATCCGGAAACAATGAATCAATTTTCTTCCATTGCAACGAACCAGCTACACGGTGAATGTTTCCATCATGGTTCCTTTCATTTGCAAGCCATCTCATATTCTTTGCGTCATTCGAATTAGCAAAAAGTATCTGAAATCGCGAAATTATTGGCAAGTACCATAACCCTTTAGTAGGAGGATGCTTCCTACTAACACTGTCATAGCCATTGTCATCAGCATTGTTGGCATTCAGCTTGTAACGCGACACGTCTCATTTCAGACATTGATATAAGTCTCCGTATTCTTTCCTGTATAATATGCAATCATTAGGACATAGATGTATTATGATATACTCCAAATCCATTAGACACAATAACTTTTTGGCCTCATAACAACGATCCGAAAAATTGTTATCTTTTTGTAACATTTGCTTTAGCAGATTAAGTAATTTCCTGAAACTTTTATCCGACCATCCATTTTTTGCCTTCAGATTAAACAATTTTAACACCACAGACAATCATGTAAAACTTGTGCATCCCTTATATAAAGGGGTGTCTTTATCATTACATAAAGTATCGTAAATATGAATCACATACAATTATCTACTATGAATCACATATAATTATCAAAGTCAATAGAATGGGTCAACTATTAATCACATACAATGATCAATTTCAATGGAATAGAACTACTATAAATCACATACAATGATCAAAGTCAATAAAATGGTTCAACTATGAATCACATACAATAATATACTATGACTCACATACAATGATGAAAGTTAATGGAATGGATCTACTATGAATCACATACAATAATATACTATGACTCACATACAATGATCAAAGTCAAATGGAATGGGTCAACTATGAATCACATACAATGATATATTATGATTCATATACAATGATCAAAGTCAATAAAATGAATCTACTATAAATCACATACAATGATATACTATGACTCACATACAATGATCAAACTCAATGGAACGGGTCAACTATGACTCACATACAATGATATGAGTCAATAGAATGGATCTACTATGAATCACATACAATGATATACTATAACTTACGTACAATGATCAAAGTCAATGGAATGGGTCAACTATGAATCACATACAATGATCTACTATGAATCACATACAATGATTTAAGTCAATGTAATGGGTCAATGATTGTTGTTGTACCCAAAAATTTTCCCTCTCATTTCATCAACATTTTCTCAAATCACAAGACTCTTGGGACTCAAGATCAAGCTAGGGTTTGCTCTGCTCAAGACACATCCTTGCACTGTTGACCTAAATTAGGGTTTGAGTTTGCACAAGGATGTTTTGACCTACAATGCCCAAAGTGACTTTCATACTTCATGTTGGACTCACAAGTTTGTCCATACCAAGTTTCAAGCCTTGATTCAAATTTTTGCCCAGTCAATTGGACAGTTGACCTAGAAATCAGTTGTATTGGGGAAAAAGTCAACTGTGACCAATTGACAGTCAAACCTCATGAAATTTGACCCACATCAACATTATGAACTCATGTGAACCATTTGATCAAGTTTGGATCACAATTCCACAAGAAATTTGATCAGATCACCAAAAGGGCAAAATGGTCATTTTTAGGGTTTTGACTGCACAAAGGCAATTTTTGACTGTTTGACCTAGCCAATGGCAAATCAAGCTCACACATGGACTCAAGGACTCAATGACATTGTCTTGACCCATTCAACAAGTTCAAAAGATCTCAAATGCATAGGATTGACAGATGAATTTTTCAGTCAACTGATCAAAATTTGACTGTACACTGAAAAGTCAAACTTTGACTTTTTGGTCAAAATTAAGTGCCAAGAGTCATTTTTCACCAAGACATGTCAAATTATGAAACTTGTTCATCAAGAAACCCAAAAATGCAAATTAGGGTTTAAA